TTCCTCTAAACTTTTCAAAGTGGGTGAGTCGATAGCTTTACTACGATTCGAAGAAGGAGGATTTGGTGATGCTGAAAAACTACTCGTCGAAAAGATTCAAATGCTAAATTAATGGATACCATTTAATGAGCAGCAAAGAACATATAAGAGAAACATTTAATAGATGAAATGAAGAACCTTTTTTCGCCGCCGAAGGAGCAGATGTCCGAGCTGGCTGTTGTCCGGAAGAGTTGGAGCTTCGTGCCGGTGCGATCCGAGCAGGTGGTGCAGGTCCTTTCGCTCCTGCCGGTAGTGGCTAAAACAATAATTTCGCAAACAAATAATGTTCATGACAAAACTTAAGAGACGTAAAAGTATGTAATTGCCGCGAAATCCGTAGCAACATAATAAGAAAAGATAAAGATTAACTTAGCAGCGGGGTAGCACAGTGGTTAGTGATGTGGTGTATCACGTGACAAAAGTGATAAGCAAGACGCTGTTCGATCCCCTCCCTCTCTTGTAGTCAATGAACAGATGCTTCAGGGAACGACTGCCCCCAAACTTGTGGCAAAGGGAAATGTGAATAACTGCTGATGAGTAATAAAGGCGGACTAAAGCAAGCATCTACCGAGATAAGCAAAAATATAGACTTACTTCACCACCACGAGCAGCCACAGCGTCGTATTCCTCACCATCATCTATATAATTGGCATTGAAGAACTTGTAGAACCATTGTAAGAACTCAAAATTATCTTGAAATTTTGCCTTCGTTAATCGCTCCACTTGAACAGGCTAGAAGAAAGGAGTAAAAGCAAGAAACAGTTTTGAGGGGAATATGAGGAAAGAAATTCGGTTCTTTTCGGTTATCTAGGGACAATGGAATAGTCGACCTCATTCACTGGACAAGAACCGTTCATAGAACTGTTACTAATCATTCGAAAGTTTAGATCTTTAGCTAGAGCCGTAAGTGGGTCAATTTTCAGAAATACCCTTTCATAATGCTGTAACATTTAAAATAAATTAGCGACTAGAGGTTTTTTTCTATTATCTCGATTATATCGCAGTGGACAGAACTTCTTAGGCTTAGTACTGTTTCGATAGCACAAATTTCGCAGATCTCAAAAATGTATCTGCTTTCTGGAAAAGTTCCTTTGATAGCGCTGTAGAGGAAAGAAAAGATTTGTGCCATAAACATTGCCGGATAGAGCTGTTTCGTTACACTAAAGTAATTATTCGATAGCGCAAATTCCAATGATTCAGTCGCTCGGCTAATTTTCTGGAAAACCCACCCAAGGGTGGTGGAAGGGCGCGCGAACGATGATTGACGCACTGACGAGCTAGACACGTGGGGTGCAACTTGTTTTCAAATAAAAGATTTTTCTCCGCCTTGAAGAGAAAATCCATATAAAACGATTGACTCAGATCCTATGAGACTTCCTCTACACGCTCATATGCTTTTCGTGAATCCCACGAATTTTACGAGTGAGAAAAATGAAAGCGCGCAGAGGGTGTGAATTATAACTCTACTTTGAACGCTACAGCATGACAAAAAAGACTTTTTGGAAAACCGGTCACGTAGGTCCTAGCCAGAAAACTGAGCTTTCGAATTACTAGTAATACTCCCATGAGAATTCTTCTCTAGCGAATGAGGTCGAACATTCATTTGTCCCCGGATAACCGAAATGAAGCGAAATTCGAAGAAAAAAGCAGTAAGGAGAATCACTGTCAGAAACTAGAACATCATGGGACATCTCTCGCAGAGATGTAAATATAAAACCTAGTATCTATAGGCAGAACATTGAATAGAAATCCTTCTCTATACGATAAGAGAGAATAGAATATAGGGAAAAACCTTGTCCACTCCGAGTGTTCTCCACGCAGTTCCGAGTATTTTCCAATTGCTTATATGGTCCATCTCATTACGACTATTCCACTTGACCTCAAAAAGTAGCCTCAGCCTTACTCAAAACGTCCTCATCAACAAAACGAACGAACAACAAATAAAGAGGTACCGCAGAAGGTGCGAACCTTACGAAGGCTGATTGCATCTCGGAAGAGTAGATGCGTGAGCTGGCAGTAGGCAGCACCCGTGCTCATTTCTTCGATCTTCGAGAAATTCGCCTAGAATTTCAATGACTGACTGGGCAACTTTGAAGAAAGTTTCGCAAGAAAAAGGTATTTAACAATCTCTTATAAGCACCCAAGTTGATGAGCGCCATAGAATAACTGATGAAGCAAAACGTGTTGGTCGTACACTGGTTAGAGGTGCCCTACGACACACTTGTAATTAAAGGTTCAAAGACAGCCATCGCTATGTCATATTCAGAGGTCTCCCAACTGCTGCTATCACGTCGAAGACTAACGACACATTTCGTACCGTGTCGCGCGACGTCACATCTCACTTAGCTACTGTAGTGGCGGCGTCACGCCTCGTGGGAAATCGACGACGCGATGCCGCCTGCCTATCAACGCTGGTCCTCAAAGGGTTATATACTCCGCAACACGCAGGCAATTCAAATTGCCCTTATGAAAAGTCATAGACCCTGCTTGCTCACATAAATACTTTCTAGCTAGTTCCAACTAACACCTGCTCGGGAATATCAACAGTTATCATTCTACTCAGATCAGGGACAGGTTGGGTCTATGACCGAGTGGGTAATGATGCTCAACGCGGCTCGACACGGGGCTGATCTCCCAACGCTCTCCGGCAATCGGTGACGAACGTATTACGGAGCGCCCCAGCCTTGTTGTACTCAAGATTTCGAGGAGATGCACTTATTCAGTATTCCACGACGTTCATGAATCCTCAACTGAAAGTTAAACACGAGGAGACGAATCGAATGTTGGAGGTACAGGAGTCGGCAAAGGAAAAAAACTGCGATACGGGCCAAATTATGTCACCTGACATGCGGTGATCTGAAATAACTCGGCGCCGATTCCTTAATTAAGTAGGGGGTATTTCCCTTGTAAGGAATTGGCTGAACCGAAAGGCGCCGTGCTACTGATGAAGTCTGTAATGCCAAAACACGTGCCTAACACTATATAAGTGCTTATCAGGCTTCATGAAAAGCCCAAGATATGTCATCAGATTGATACATCCTGACAGCATATTTTAAGCTTTTCATGAAATCTGTAATCGGCACTTATACAGTGCAATACACGTGCTACGCTTTTGTAACCTCGTCAGTTGCATAGCACCCCTTGTCTAAGCCTATCTCTCTCGGGGGTGAATCCCTTACATAGCAAAATCGTCGACGAACACGCTACACCGTGTAAAATGAAATTACACTCCACCCACGAATAACATGTTAGTGCATGTACAATGACATAAACAGCGGACAATGCAGTGTTAACAATCGATTGTTCAAGGCTGATATTCTTATTACAATACCTTTAAAATCGACTTTTTATGCCAGCCTTAAGCAATAGACTGTTAATTACTGCAATGTCCGGTGATTATGTCACTGGACATGCACTGATATGTTAACCGCGAATGAAGTGATTTCCACTTTACACACGGTGTAAGTGTTCGTCGACGATTCCTCTATGTGAGGTGGTACACTTCCGAGAGAGATTGGCTTAGACAAGGGGTACTATGACTGATTTCACTATTTAGGTGCCTATAACAGAGCCCATAAAAGGCTCAAAATATGCTGTCAGAATGTATTAATTTTGAGCGAGGTCTTGAAATAACAGTCGAGTATAAAGATGTCATCAAATTATATATTATTTTGAGCGAGGTCTATAAAAATAGTCGAATGTAAAGCCAGTGCTTCACTTAAGGCAGCTGACCTTAATGGTGCTGTTCACCCAGGCTAGAAGTTCGTGGCGAGATATATTGTCCTGCGTCACAGCCGAAACGTACACGTTCGTCACCATCGTATTGGAACGCAGAGAAAAGAAATCTACAAGCACTGGAAATTCGGTCATTTTAACCAAGAATGAAGTTCAATATCGAAGTGAAAGAAACAAAAAGGGATTCGACAATGTGAGGTGATATGCAAAATTCAAAATTTCGGACTGGGATTGAACCCGCATCCTACCTCTATCACGGGCGAATGCTGCTAACCTATTGCACTACCGCAACTCTTGTTTGGCTATCACTCTTTCTGCGATACGAAGTATCGATCGACTGTTGATAACTAATCGTCAACGGTTTTGCTGTGGTAAGCACATATCGGCATAGAACCCCAGTCACACTGACATATATCGGATACATGTGATTAACGAGCATTCATTCCATTTAACCCTTTGGGGACGGCAGTTTATCGATCGCACAGCGCAAGTCGCAAGAGGCGCGCGATTTTCATTATTCAATTTGGGTTTTTGCTCTAGTTGGAAAAGTAAAGCGCTAGGTTTTTTGTGATACTCTGATACTTCATGATTTTTTCTAGATGGTGATATGTTCTACGTGCACATATAACCTTTCTGCACGATAACATCGAGCGCGAAATGTAATCTTCTTTTTGCTCTTACGGCGTTCTGTGATAACCTTTCAAAAAACCAATTACAACATTGAAATCCTCAAGATTTTGGTTGTCGAAAGATCAGTAAGAGTTTGGCGAAAAGCCATATGCAAGCCTCAGCAAAGCTAGTAGAGCAAACTCAGAGTGAAAGATTATTTCATTCTCGCTTGTACAACGTACCAAAAAAGCTTCTTATAGAATCATCACACGTTGTCATCGCAGAGATTGAAGCTTTTGAACGATTACCAAGTGCCTAAGAGAAAACACAATAGGTTAACACGCGCTCCCGAGAAGCGCGATATGCGGGTTCGATTCCCGCCCGAGGTTTAAAGTCTTGCATATCACTCAGCAATACCGCATATATATTTCCAGCATCATATCACCGCTAAAGGAGCGATTAAATGAAGAATTTTTCGCTAATTACACATATATTTCACATCCGTCACCGTGACTGAGTTCACTTCCGTTATGTGCTTATCAGATCTACCGCTGACGACTGATCGCTGATAGATCGAAATCTCGTATCGCAGAAAGAGTTATTCTAGCACGACAGGAACCTCGCTGGCGCAATCAGTTAGCATGCGCTTCTGAAAACGGTGATACGCGGGTTCGAATCCCGCCTAAGGTCCAAAATCTTCTTTATGACGCAACTTTATCGAACGCATATTTAATATCAAAATTTTGCTAAAAGCGCTCAAATAAGAGATGTTTTAGCTGATTAAGAAAAATGACTCGTAATAAGGAAAGTGAGAGAAAGATTTTACAAAAAAAAATTTCAAATATAGATTTTAAATTAAGAGTGAAATAGACGGGGGAATTGCAGCGGGGAAGGGGAGTGAACGAACAGCAGCCATCCCGTCGAACACCAGCTGACCAAGTAGGGGGGTGGGGGACCGCTCTGGACTGGACCAATCTATGATGAATAGAGCACGATAATGTGCAGGTAGGCAGGTAGTGACGTCATCAAAGTCCCCTCGAGATTCAACTCTCCTTTGACCTTGGCTTGACCAGTCAATCGATAGCCGTCTCCTTCATGCACGACGCTGATATGAAGATCTATGCGGCTCATTCCAGTAATGAGCGAGTATGGTGCAGTGGTTGGAGGTGCTCTGTAACACTCACGTGGTCAATGGTTCGACTCCCCGCCCCACTTTCGAGGCTCACCAAGCCTTCTGTCTTTCACGAGTCCGTGAATAGGTACTGCAGACTTGTGTGGAAGCATAGCAGTACAATCGGTAGGCTATGGCGAGCCGTTGTAAAGGCCAAATACGGACTCAGCCATCTCAGTAAGATTAGTAATAATAGCTGAATGAAGTCGAAAGCATGGCGATCCATCGGGAATTAATCAACGCCGACAGCTTCATCCTTTATCCTTTTAGCTTTCAAATCTCAGTGATATCCAAAGGACCCGAAATTTCGTAGTAGTTCCCCATTATTTTTTTAATTGGATGGGTCGAACATTGGCATTTCCACTTTTATTTTGGCAACTGTTTAATTTTATAAATTCGCATACTCTTGGTATAGCCCTTTGAACATCATGAGAGTCATTCTGATGCCTACCGCGCGACGTCAAATCTCACTCAGCTGCTGTAATAGTGGCGTTACGTCTCGTGGGGAAGTAGGCAGACAGCCAGACACACATGCACAGACATGAAGAGCCGCTTGTATGGGGCGCTTGTCTGAATGCCGCGCAAGTGACGGCACGACGTCGCCTGTCTATCAACGCTGGTTCTCAAAGGATTAGCCTTTTACGAGATTTTGATATTGCATCTTAGCGATATACAGACGTTTCGACAGTTTCGCCCATCTCACCAATATCACACGCCCCATACTAAGATTAGTAAGGGATAAATAAAAAGTCATTGGAATAATATATGATGAAGTTTTCGAGGTTTTGAAAACCAGTCAAATGAAAAACTATGTTTATGTGATAACAGTCGCAAAACATCGACTGAAGAAAAGACGGTGCAACACGTGATAATTCACTTGACAGGCAGCCGGTGAGACTTCTATGGAGGTCAAACTTAGGTGGCGACGTAAAATAAGTGAAATCGTTTGTGGGAAGATGGTAGCGGCCGACGAAACTTGGTAAAGGTGAAACCTATTCGTCGACCTTACCTCATATGGAGTCGTAGGTAAGAGCATCATCGTCGGTGAGTCTCCTATGGAGATGATTTTCCCAGAGAAATTGTTATCTTGAAATACCTTTATTTCGAGTGTTTTGTTAAAACCACGCTCGAATTTCAATAGATCCTTTCATTATTATCTAAGCCAACTTGTCATGTGGTCTGTTAAGGGCTCTTCTACAGCCCGATACACATGTTTCGTCCTTACAGACTCGTCAGTCGGGCAGAACCCGTCATCTTTCGATCTTTTCATAGTCAGTTCTCTCGGGAGCCCTACTCTCGCTATAGAGAGTCATCGAAGACGAACGTTTTACACTCTATGTCAAGTGAAATTTTCCTAACACAGAGTGTTGCGCACTCGATTGCTCTTGGGCTGGTATTTTTATCATATTATAGCTTTATATCAGCCACATGCCCGATACACGTGTTGTGTTTCGGGCTGTACAAGAGTTCTTACCAGACGACATGACAAGTTGGCTCAAATAATAATGATGTTCCATTGAAATTTGAGCGTGGTCTCAACAAAACACTCGAATTAAAGGTATAATATGATAAAAATTACCAGTCAAAGAGCAATCGAAGAGCAACATTCCGTGTTAGGTGAAAGTTTCACTTGACATAGAGTGTAAAACGTTCGTCTTCGAAAACTCTCTGTGGGGAGAGTAGATCTCCCGAGAGAACTGACTATGAAAAGATCGAAACGCGACGGGTTCTGCCCGACTGACGAGTCTGTAAGGACGAAACACGTGTATCGGGCTATTAACTTATATATGGGGCAAAAACGTTTTGATGCCCTCGCACTGAAATTTGACATTCAGAAAAAGTTTCTCATTATGATAAGGTGATAAACCTTTGAAGAACCTAACAGTAGAGCGGCATCAGGTTCACAGAGTATGAGTTGAGTGTATTTCAACACAAATTATCATTTGAAATATTAAATTTCAGCTAGAAGTATGATAGGCTACAAAGTCATATTGCTGCAACTTCTCAGTAGAAGTCGTTTATTTATTGTAGAAAAAGTTCGACTTATTACAACTTAAAGAAGAGCGACTGCTTAAAGGGTGGCAAGATCACGGAACATCAGTCACATGTGAACATGAAAGTGGATGAAAACACTGGAAATGGAAACAAGCAAAGAATGATGAGGAGAGAGAGGACTATAGCAGTGCATCTAAAGAAAAAGAGGACTTTGTCTACTGCGTTGATAGAGCGACAGTAAGTTTCAGCTATCAACACGGTAACATTAGAGGTACTGAATTAGTCTGAGATATCCTAAAAATCCACACCCGTCACAAATCCGCCGAAATCTGCCAACTTTTGAACTTTTGGTCCTGTTGCCAACAATTGATCTCTCCGTTGATGTGGCCGTAATGAAGGAAGGCTCATAATTGTCGCAACAAGTCATCGCATATGTACGAAAATATATGCACGTGAAACTGTAAAGAAAATCTTTTATGTACAGCTGTTGACCTCTCAACATCTGATAAGCTTGAATTAAACCAGTTTTCCAGGTCGTGCACCAGGAGTGGCGCACGCATATTTGTCGATCCTTGGTCCCACTTAGATTACATGCTCTCTACGGAAATCAAGGCTTCTTGAAGATGTATTTTTCACACTATTTGTCAGTGAGTGTTTTTATTCAGCAATTATTAGCTGAGTTAACCTATAAAAAAATTATCTATTAAGATAAAGATGAGAACAATATCGGCTATCAACGAATATAATGCAATTTTAACTTTTTATTCACTATTTTGTGTTCTGATGACAGTGAATTTTTCACCGAACATCCACCATTTTAGACAAGATAACATATCAAGTTGGAAAGTAAGCGCGGAGACGTTTGTTCATTCTCTCCTTTACTGCCTCTCAAAACTTCTATATGTTCCTTGATAATATTTACATCTTTGCACTCAGGTGACAGCTTATTATGATGTTAAATTCCCAACCCAGGTGATGCAACTTGGGCACTTGGATACATAGGCTCGTTTGAGCGTCGCTAATACGTCGTTAAGAATCTTTTTTATAGATGCAGTTTCTTCACGTTTATCCGGTTATCGACCTTTCAAAGCGTCATAGACGACCAGTATTAGCTTCGCTTTCCCAACATCGATATTATAAAGATAATGCCACTATTTGAAGCAATATATAGTCGACTGTCTTCCATTTCATTTCTCTACCATATGTTACGGAATTTTCATGAACGTTCCTGAATAAATTGACGAGACGACTTGGTCATTTATGACTCAATGCGTTCAAAACGGTAGACAGGTGAACTTGGTGCAGTAAAATTAGTACCACTGTGGCAGCGATTTAAAATGATTTTTTCCGTCGTATTTCTGAGGTAATGATTCTACTTAGCCATTGAATCATGTTCTTCTCAGCTTGGAAATTCACAAATTTCTTTAGAGATTACAAATGACGTTCCCAAGCTCTAAATCTTTGAGTGGTTTTATTGTTCCTCTTCCTCTGGCTACATTTTACCGTTGTCACGCAAATTTATGAAGTCTTAAGTTTGAGCTGATGATTGCCTACGACTTGTGTTGCTTCACGTCAGTATGTTAGTGGGAACGTCTAATCAAAGGTGCCCTTCATGGCTTAGAAATTCTCAGCTTGGGTATATCATGCGAATGTGTGATGAGTCAGCCATATTTATCATCGATGGTGTTCAATAATGTAACTTTTCATTAATAGGCAATCAACAAAGTAAAATCAAATTTATGATTATTTGTAAGGTTCTAATTTTGAGTTTTAGAAAAGGCAAATCTTTTGCAAACAATTTCCTATTCTGTTTTGAGACTTAATGGTGGGAAGGAGAGGAGAAAAAGAAAAATGCGGCATGGTTAGTGATTTAGTCCATGATGAAATAGGATGATGGTGCTATCCCCTTGTTCCGGCGATCCAGACGCCTTAGTTTGGCTTTCTTCGAGATTGAATTGTCTCTATCAGCTTTCTACGGCATTCACGATAAAGACGTTTCCCTAAAGCGGAAGCAGAGTAACACGTGAAATCTTCAAATTTTATAGAGGATAATTGCGAGGAAACGAATCCAACGAAGGAAGTGCTCCGATGCGCGCACTTGGTGTGACGACCGAATAGTTAGATGTAAATAAATAAGTGTAGTACTTGAAATAGTGACATATGCTAGATATAATAAAGCCTTCTATGTCCAGCATCGAGAGGGACTTTCAAAGTTATAAATTACTGTCAATCGTTTAAACCTTCAATGCATTTCATTTCATCTATACGCCTCGCAAGCTACGCGTTTCTCTGAATTCAAATTCGACTTCCAAGTTTATCGAGCATGTAAACAACAAAGTGCCCTTTTTGGACTTCTTTGAATCGTCATAGAAATTTTACCTCGTCTTCTTCGTCGTTCATTGGGGCAAAGGCGCCTTTTTGGAGCCAACACTGGTACACATTTTTTCAACCGTAAGGGTATAGTCAATTTGCTACTAGAGGATTTTTTCCATAAAAATAGATGTCTATCTCTAGCAACGTGTGG